GTGTACGACTCAACTTGTGAGAATTAACATAAAGCCATTCTATGAAAATAACTCAATCATCACTTTGTGTTCCAAGCTACACCATAATATTCAATTAATATGATTTTCCAATAGTTCCAGCCGTTATGTTATATATTTATCACTAGAAGAACTCGGATGCTTTGAATAGTTATTACTTTATGGCTACTTCAAGGATTACTAACTTCAGGGTATTTACTTGATGTAATACATCCAATAAAAAAAATGACTCAATTTCCTTATTATAAATAACGAAGTTTGGTCGTAAATTCATCATTCAAAGTCACTATTTAAATGATTTTAGTTCAGACTGTAGAATAACAGATTTTAATAATCTGAATAAAGTTGAATACATTCAGGTTTCACTGTCGACCACCTCTAACCATCATCTCATCTCAACATAGTGCATACAATATCGAGTCACCTATACTGGTGGCCTCATTGCAACCTATTCGATAGAATTAAATCTGAAGTAAGAAGGACCTAACCTACCTGATTGTTATGAATGAAAACTCAGGTGGAGACGACCAAATCAGATTTTTCACATAACCTTACAGAGTCCTTGTTAAATTCTAAAATCCACCCAGTGAATATTTCATTTGCATTCTATATGTTTCTTCCAATTCACAATTCCATTCTATTTCCGTTTCTGTTCTCTTCAACTCTATCTTCTTAACCTTCTGCTGCCAGGTTTTCCACTTCGGATTGATGTTACATACTACTTACAACGACAGACATAAGTAGCGTACACTACACTACTACTCATTTACTCAGAATTTGTATTACCTAAAATTATCATCTCTACAACTAGGGCTTCCAACGTTCAAGTATACCTAATGACTTTACTAGAAAAGTTCAAGGTAATAGTAGTAACTAAAAAAACCAACACAAGAAATTCAACATAGATGGTTAACAACTTATTTATTTCGATAATGATATTAGAGGACGAAGATTATCAGAACTATCTGATATATTAGCGCAATACATTTCGAACAATCTGGTCACACATATACTTATTAAGAGCATTTATATATAAAAAATAATAAAAGGTCAACTAGACAGGAAACGGGGTAAGTGGAGATAAGGTTACTGATAAGAGTAATAATAATAATAGTATGAACACAATTCGAATCCTAATCACTCTGGATAATAAGTCAATATTACCAGGGTAGGTTTAAGGTAAGAACAAACTGTTTTTGAACACACAAAGGGGGTTTGAATTTTCGTATGTCTAAGGCTTCAATAAACCTTAGTATATGCCCTTTTACACTTTTATACCACACTACAAAAGCTGAATTTAGATCAATCTTGTGACCTGTTTCAATCATATGTTTAGCAATAGAGGATGATGGATGTTTATCCTCTGCTCGTATTGGGTCACTTGATTGTATTTGTTTCTGAAGCCATTTGGGTACATGTTCACTCACCCTAATGTTGAGATCACGATTACTCCTCCCTATGTATGTGTGACCACACACACAGTGGGATGTGACGCAATCGTTTCCATGTACTTTAGGTTTTGAATTAAGCATGCACCTTGTTCTTTCTTTGATGATGACCTTTGCTGCACAATAAGTTTTATTGATGACTGATTTAAGTCTTTGTTTCAATAAAAGGCTATTTGAATCACCTCTGAACGGTAAGGTGATGTAGACAAGCTTTTTCTCTACCGAGGATACACTAGGTCTCGCTGCACCATGGAATTTCCATCTATTTATGAATTTCAGAGGATAGCCATCTTCTATTAACATTTTATTTAACAACTTATCATCATCAATGGCGTCATTGGTACAAATACGGTCGAGTCTGTTGAAAAGACACCTTATCAAACCACGTTTGTATTGCACAGGGCAATAACTATAATAACTAATATATTGACGTGTCCACGTTGGTCTTCTAAAATTGGATCGCTTGACTGAACCATTTTCTCGTCTACTCAGAAGTATATCTAGGAAGAGGAGCTGACCGTTCTTCTCCTCTACACATGAGAGACTGATATGGTTTTGGAGTGTTAAATTTATTGATAAAATATAAATATATCCAATGAAATAAATCATTGACTATAGATTTGAATGCATCTTTTCAAACAAAGTAATATTCTTGGAATGATTAGAGTATTAGAAGCGATAATAACACCGATAACCACGACGCGCAACGCTGACTAGTGTTGGGGATAGCTGGAAGAAAGTTAGGGGCAGCGAAACCAAAACCTGGGATCAGTCAACAAAGTCACTAACTTCTGGTATGAGCCATGTCAGTAGATCTAGACTACTTGGTTTGGGTTTGCATGACTATAGCAACCAATGGTTAACATAACACAGAATCGATCACAATGGCGTCGGTGTATACACTCTCTATCTTCCCTTAAATCGTGAGATTAAAATAACTTTATACTTTTCTTTCTACGAACTAATTCTTTCTCCCTATACTATATCCTTATGTTCAATCTTTCTTTTATATATTACCACCGTTGAATTAACTACGTCTATGAATTCGGTGTTCATCTTATTGTTCTAATGAGGTATGGCAACTTCGTCCGATGCATATATGTGCCTGGTTCTACGTTGTAGCTGACTGACTGACTGACTGAGAGTATTATAAAATATCATTACTGGATCCAAAATAGTACATTCACATACATTTTATATTACATTATTATTGTTCAATAATAAATATAATACGAAATTTTACAATTATCTGCAATTCAGTTGTACAGTGCTATTAATTTTCAACGTGGAAGTATTAGGTCCTTACCTGAAAAGTACAAAACATTTATTTACAATGTTTCTGAATACTTTCAAAGAAATTGAATAGGTAATTAAAAAATATAGATTATTGTATATTCGACGAGACTATAAATTATGAACGAACCAATTAGATCTCGGATTTTACCGCGAAATTCGTTCATCCATTTGGTTAACTAGAGTTTAAACATTTTAGCTTATGTCAGTTCGTGATGAAAACCATAAATCTAACGTCTAACTTTAACCATCAACTTTAAATTATAATCCTAATTCCTCATACAGGTCTAGCTATAAGGTGGACACTCTCAAGGTCACTCTAGAGTCACTCAAAGGTCAGCCATTAATCAGTCTTATCAGTAAATGAAACAACCGTCATATCATATTATATTTAGAAGATTTACCACATATTTTAACCGAATTAGAAATCAGAATAGAGTGAAAATAATAGCAACAGAGATTTTGAAGACTCTCCTGAGCTCTCACATTGTACGAGTATTCCATGTACCTAAATTAATGATTGTTCTGGTTGTCAGAAGGGGCATCAGCCTAGTGACTCCCGAAAGAACTCGGCTTTCATCATGAGACGTTATAATTCTTCTAAATGAAGACCTTTTAATTCTCAGGGCAGAGTTTAAATACTTTTAATTGCTTTTTCTGGTTAGCGTTTTGTAGCGAGTTTGTTTTCTACGGGACTGAGTAGCTAACCCAATGCCCAGACCTCCTTTCTTATCCCAGTTTTGTACCAGTGACAGCCCTAGGTTTTCATAAAAATGTGATTTCCTTAATCAGCATATGAAACTCTCAAAAAGTAAGTGGGATGATTAAGTGATTAAGCATTTTAATTGCTGAAAAATTCCCATTATATTAAAAACACAATTGTATGAACGAAGAATATTCTTTTCAATAATTTCTCATCAGGTTCTACAATTATAAATCCAGATTAATAATCCATAAAATTGGCCAGATTTAAGGCAAAATACATCATTTGAACATTGTAATATGTGAATCAGGAATTGTTTGTTATATAAAATAAAATTGTTAATGTTGGGGCTGAAGCAATTGCTATTCGGATCAAAAAGCCATAGCTTTGTATCCAAAAGAAGTATGTTCAGCCACTCCTTTTACCCTGGCCAACTAGCTAATAATCAATCTTAAAATATGGTGACGTAATCTGATTAATGTTCATTTTATGTCCCAAACTTATTATTATTACTGTTATTATTATTATTATTATTATTATTATTGTCTTTACACTTGATAACCCCCTTTTTGATGAATTTATTCAATATCCACCCCTGAATCTACTATATTTGACCTAATTATTTTACATATTACGCAATTTCCGATTTGTAATCACAATTTTCTCTCTCTCTCTCTCTCTTACCCATGTTGACCTTATTTATTCTGATAATTTATCTCACAATTTCATTTCGCTTATAAACTGATTCAAGTTAACACTTCATACTAGTCAGCCTCAACATTAACAATTTTATTTTATATAACAAACAATTCCTGATTCACATATTGCAATTTCCAAATGATGATGTATTTTGCCTTAAATTTGGCCAATTTTATGGATTATTAATCTGGATTTATAATTGTAGAACCTGATGAGAGATTAGGCATTTATTATTGGGTAGAATTTAACTTTTCATTTTAGAGATGACTTGAAGTTCATTGGGTACATTTCCTTGAAAAGCTATTTTCCTTTGAACATATCGTCTTCAAATTATCCTATGGAGATAAATTGCTATATGTCTCTTTCATTAACATATATATATCGTTGTCAACGGATCATAGGAGAACAACAAAAGCGATTTTTTTATTGAGATCGTGAATCGAATGATGTTAGACCACTATTGAAAACCTGGAAGCACATCCACAATCCTAATCGCGGGATTCGAACCCATGGCCTTCCGTCTCGCACGCGAAAATTTAACCTCTAGATCACTGAGCCGACATCCGATGGTGTCATTGTTTAACTTCAATCAATCAAAAAATTGCGCAGCCACCTTCCATTGTACTGAGGTAGATACCTGTCTCTACCCGACATGGACTAACTTCACTGATCACGACTTCTCACTAGAACTCCGAGAATTACCACACGAAACTAGTTACTAGTGAGCACATGGTATTCATAAGTATAGGGTTGTGGAGATTACTGAGTTTTTGATTGAGATCATGAACTGATTGATGTTATCATTTCTTATACTTTATACATATACATAATAAACGTACCTTGCAAAACCTGTTAACATTAGGACATAAGATTTCCCCATTAAGTCTCGATATTCCATCAGATACATTAAAACGTACTGGCTGATCTTTCCTGGTACAATTCACAGTTGAATCTTTAAAGTATAAACCAAGCGTTCCATCATTATAACACTTGTACTGAATAAGAAAGAAATACGATTTTGTGAAATAATTTAGGAATAAATTAATGTGAAAATACAATGAAACGGGTTAGATTAAAGATACTTTAAGGATTCTGTACGAAAGTTGTACATTTAAAATATAAAGATATAACTGATATATTCCAACAAGAATAATGAATGGTAACTGTTGGGATCCATTTTTAGACTAATAGTATTTACATATTCATATTCCTGTTCCTCTTATTATAAGCTCTATTTTGACCCATAAACGATTATCATACGATTTACCGTTCTTGAGTTGTACCCATTCCATTCATTACAGTCTCCCTCATTCACAGTTATTTTAACTTGGTCTTGTACAAATGTTATTTCCAATTTCCTGGTATGATGTGGTCTGTTTGATCGGTATATAAATTCAGTATGTTTGAAATACATGATTTATATCACGGACGCTGAGATTAGTGTTGTAGACTTAACCTGCAGGGCTAAACAGAGAGAAGGACTGATAAAAACTCTAGACTGCTCATACGAGTTTAAGCATCCGGTCTATAAGGTACGAGGCTATAACTTATAACAACAGCATACATTTTTAATCACAAAACTAGAAACTGTTAATATATCTAATTTCTAGACAATAAAACATAAATATAAAGATAAAATTCAAGATTGAATTATTCCCAGTTTTAAATCTAAGAAACATCTTTGTCAAACAACTGTTATGTCCCGATAAGTGCGATGAGTGGGAATTTTTGGGATCCATTTGTGGACCAATACTATATGTATAGCTTTATCGTATAATTGCTAATTAACTAAACTATCCATATTCATGTCCCTCTTATTATGAGCTTTATTTTGACTTATGAACTATTATTATACGATTTTCCATTCTTGAATTATTCCCTGTCTATTAGTCACTGCCACCCTCATTCACAGCCACATTTGGCTAATTCTTGTACAAATGCTGTTTCCTATTTTATGGTGCGATGTCTGTCTGGTTAACATATAAACCGAATATGTTTGAAATAAATGATTCATATTGTAGAGGCTGAAATTTGTGTTCTGAACTTAACTGGCTGGGCCAGGCAAGAAACAAGACCGATAAGTACTCTAGACTGCTCGTACGGGTTTAATGCGTCACTGATCCGATCGATAATTCGCTGCTTCTGATTGGCAGCTTTGGGCCATAATAACAAAGTTAATTTGAACAACATATCGTATAGTTCTTTTTATGATGACATTTGATTTTAAAAAAACGTAGCATTATTATACTTTGAGAAAAAGGGTGAAACAATTTATGGATATCAATGCCAAGATTGAACTTGATAGTTTCAAATAAATTAAGCATTGAGTAGAAAATTGATGATAAATATACTTTATGTTACAAATCAGGTTCGTATCCTGACAGTGACATTCCGTTGCCCCAAAATGCCCTGATACGGCTGAGAGTAGGGATAGTCAATTCTCTCGCTTGAAATGCTCCCAAAAGTATAGAGCCACTGTCAGAGGATTCCTATTCACTGTCTTCTCTCACCGTGGATGTTGTCTATGACAAAAAGTGAATGTCCAGTGCTTTAACGGGGTCGCTGGACACGGAGGATACACCCAGGGGAGTTAGAAAACCGTGATTCTAAACCATTGGTGCACATGGGCTCCACAATCCTGTAGGAACAAATGACTTATAAACCAATCATTGATCACTGGCTAACATAGGACTGCATCTCTTGACTTTGCTCCACTGCCTGGTGGATTAGACCTTTAAGTCGAAAGCATTAGATGTGGGCTCCTAATACATAATTCGTTCTGGGCACCCGGGCAGTATCACAGCTCATACACTAATCGAATGATTTATGTGGTGCATATCTATTTGATGCCTCCTTGTACCAGTGTTTAAATAAAAATCTTAAATAAATGAGTAAGAAAATAGTATTTTTTTGAGTTTCGTGACTTTATATAAGCCACTTCGCCAGAGTGAAAAGACAATTTATTTATCGATAGAATAAGAATGTGTAATAATAAACAGATAATAAAAAGTAACCTCTAAAATTCTGACGTAATAAAGGCTTCAACCTCGAAACAATACATATTCCAGATAACTTGAATGACTATCGAGCTGTGTTACAAATTAATCTCGTATCAAGTCTGTGAGGTGTCGTTGGTAGTTCACACTGTGAAGATCAAATTCAAGACAAAGTTGTTCTGTTTCACTTGATTTTCTACTTTTTTTCAGTAATGCAAACTATCGAACATGAATTGATATTACTAAAATGTCATCAAACATTTACATCATCTTGAAAGATTGCTCCTGTCTCTTAAAACTCTAATAGATAACAGAAATATAAAAGAGAACAAAACTGTACCTTATGACAACTTCCTTTCAAATATGTCCCTAAAGTGTATATATATCTGTCGGTGTAAGTCCAAACACTTCGATGTTCAACACAAATACCTTTTGATCCATATGTTTGATAGTATCGGTTAATGCCTTCACCTAATATGAAAGATGAGTTTTAAATAACTGATTAATTATTTCTTACCTATTCAGAACGACTAGGTAAGTATACAGGTAGATCAACAATGTAAATATCTGATTAGGAAAAACGAAACTTAAATTCACTTGGCATTGTTTACTTGAATCTTCCCAGTTGGTATTTAGGACTACAGTTGATCAGTCTCTTACTGGCATATGAGCATACTGTGCGTGTTGCCTCGATAATGTCTCAATTTACAAGAATTCTAAGCAAAGATAGATAAAGGCTTGCAGTGGAATAGGGTGAGGACTTTTGAAGCGAACGGTACTGGGTTCGAGTCCCAGAGTGAACATCAACTCTGAACTAAAGGCACATCCAACTGACGAGTCCGGAATAGGACGAAACGTGAGTCGCGGATTCCACTATTAATCACTATACATCTTTGCTTATAATATTAAGAAACATCCGTTTCTCAAGGTTATTTAACTGTCGTATATTTTCTACACTTTACGAAACAATTTTAGAATTCTAATGAAGAGCATTGAATGTTTAGCAAAATGATACATAATCCATTATAGATATGTTAAATACACCTAGAGTTTACTTTGCATCCATGATGTAATGGTATCTTTGCTATTGAAAATACCATAAAGTTTCAAATTCTAAGTATAATACAATAAGTAAGTGTAATTTTCCATTCTAAAACCGATCCAAGTTGATTATTTAATCAATAAAAAGTACAATCAGCAAACAAACATTAGGGAATCCCCTTAACAATTCTCATGTAAAATGTTTGATGGGCTAACTATATTTGTGAATAAAGCCCTAAAACGCTGTTTTAACTAATCTACTCAAAATTCTTCACTACATTTGTTTTGTGAATAGGTGATTCGATATATGATCATCTTATAAGAATTAAGTCAATTGGATTCACAGAATACTTGATTTGTAATTGAGTAATTCAATGATAGGTTAACGAAGAAGTAAATTGAATAGCGGTTAGCAGTGGAATCCAAGACATGCGGTTCGTCCTATTCCGAACTCGTCAGCTGGATTTACCTCTATCTCAGAGTTGATGTTCACTGTGAGACTCGATATCGATATAGTGGCAGTCTGCACAGAACGCACATATGCCAACAAGAGACTAATTAATTCCAATCCTAAATAATAATGAGAAGATGCAAGTAAACATCGTCTAGCGAAAGAAGTGGAATAATTAGACCTCACCTGAATGATTTTTAATAAATTTCCAGGTCAAACGTATGAAATATTTAGCTTGATAAATTATCAATGTGAAACTATAATTTATGGACGATCATTGAGTAATGCTAAAGTGACCTTCAGAATATTCACCTGCTTACGAGAGCTAAATGAGGGTTATGAACCTGTGAGAGGAATAAAGATTATAATTTTCATTTAATGGTCAGAGTTACGAATTAGATTTAAGGTAATTCACCACGAACTGACATAAGTTAAGATGCCAGAACTCATTAACTCAAATGGATGAATGAATTTCGTGCCGAAATCCAAGACCTCTTATATTAAATCTGATTAACTCGTTCATAATTCATAGGCTCTTCCTTATTGATGAAAGTATGCTATCAAGCTAAATGCATACTACATTATACAGAGAAAAAGTAAAATGCTTACGTGATAATTTCTCATTCTCCTGATGTGTACAGAATGATGTAGCTGAATAATCACTGCCCAAACCTTTAACATACTACAAATGTAGGAGAGTAAGGTTAGTTCAATAAAATACATCATTATTATAAGAGGATATTTTCTTACAAAAATGGCGAGACTATAATTTATGGACGACCTTTGAAAGAATCTTGTATGAGCTTGAGAAATATTAGCCATTTTTAATAGTTGAGATCATGAGTCAATTGAAGTTAGACCACCATGGAAAACCTAGAGGCAGTGGACGGCCGTTTGGTCCTAGTGTGGGACTCCTCAACTGTGCTCAATCACAATCTCACTTCGCGAGATTCGAATCCAGGACCTCTCACTCTCGCGAGCTAGCGCCTAACCATTAGAGCGCTGGGCCGACATCCAACGTGATCGTGGATGCGCACTGCTGAGGAGTCCTACAGTAGGACAAAACGGCCGTCCACTGATTCCAGGTCTCCATGGTGGTCTAGCTCCAACTGACTCATGATCTCAACTATTCAAATTACTATAATATCCACAAAACCCCTTCAAATATTAGCCAATTAGAAGACAGTCAGCATAGTGTAAAAATCTATTATATATAACCAAAGAATTAAAATTGATACACTTCTTTTATATGGTTCAGAAACTTATCAAAGTTAGAAAGAGGTTCAGAGGTTTTAAAATTGTGATCAATATAGTAGAGGGAATCATCCATATGGCTCTATAATTGTCGACCTCTGGAGCCATACTAAATACTCAAAAACTCTTTCAGCCTCGATCAAATCACTTCAGTATTGTTTGTGTGCATTCCGGTTGTTGGATCCACAAAATGCCACTTGTGGATAACTACACGATGCACATAAACAAGTCTCTGTAGGTGTCTGTAGGCTCTTAAATCATCCGTATATATTGTAGTACCCGGTAGCAACCAGTGTTACTGGTGCTTTTATCCAATTCGCAACAACTGTCATAATTTGCCTTACTCTCAATCTGGATAGAGTGAAGAAATTCCTATCACGTTTTCTCTAAAATCCACTGTGAATTGATCGTACTTGTGTACCAGGTACTAAAATTGCTGCCATGACTTCGAAATCCCTGAAACACCCCTAATTTTCTCGTCTATAAATTATAGTCTCGACAAGTGATTTTAAGTAGTACTGAACAATTTAAGCTATTTTAACTGTTACTTATTCAAATCATACGATTGTAATTTTCTATGTTAAAACAGTATCATTTCCCCCATGTTAACTAATATAAGCTTCACCATATATCTCATTAGAAGTACTTATTTATATAAATATAATTATGTAGTGGCTTTTTTTCGTTAATCAGTCACCCTCGATAACCATTATTATATAAATTTCAACGGTGTTTGAAATTAGAACGCAATAAGAAGCGGCACCTTCAGTCTGTTAGCAGATAGCACAGATCACAAAGTTATAAGCATACCAAGAAAATTTGAAGCAGAGAGGCGTATATGTGTATGCGTGCAATTACATAGGCAAATTTATAGTCAAGTTGCATAGATGCACAGCAAGACAAACCAAAAGCTAATAATCGGATTCGAGTACATAAATACATAGGGATCAGAATGAACCATCGCGTGAAATTTAAGCAATCAACATTTTAGCTAGAGTCTGTCATGTTTTTCTAGTGATCATAACAGTACAAAGAAATATGCGAATTGTTACTGTTCAAATAACATTGTCCGTTAAGTAAATTAATAAAAGGGTTTAACCAAAGTGAACCATAATCGAAATTTGTTGTCGTTTAAAGCGAACAGTATTGGGTTCGAGTCTCAGAGTGGACATCAAATCTGAGATGCAGGTACATCTTGCTGACAAGTCCCAAACAGGACAAAATGCGCATCCTGGATTCCACTGATATCCACTAACCATCTTTGCTTATAATGCTTGTTGTAGGATAGTTGCTATATTTATATCATTTCAGATTATTTCACAGTATATCTTTTTATCTAAATATGGTTCATTATAAAACCTAAATATCTGCAATCATTGTATTCATGACTCAATTGAAGCTAGACCACTATTGAAAACTTGGTAGGACTGGACGGCAGTTTTGTCCTTGTATTGGAGCATTAATTGATAATATCACACATTAATAACGATGTTGATTCATGTTTTCTTCACAGATTCATACATAAAGTCGGTACAGGTGAATATATTTTAAAATAAAAATAGTTAATTTCTGATTATGGTCAGGAATGAAAAATGATTATAGAAGTTGACTGAGAATCCTAGGTCATAATACTAAACTTTATGAAGTGAAATATTCACAAGAATGTAGAGCAATCAACTTACGGCCATTGTTGGACAATAGTCTTTAAATGGATCTTCCCCACCAAAATATTCAGGACCATATTGAGTATCAAATGGGGCTTTTAAGAAGAAACGATCTTCTATGGGAACTGGATCATGATATCTCAAAATACTACATGTTCCATATGAGAATGCATCACGACATCTTGCTTCATTAATAGTGTCACAGAATGGGATAAATTTCCTGCGGCTTAACGAAAAAAACAATCAATTTTAAATTCAATTAATAATTTGATTTTTCGTCATGTATATTTATTCAAAACAATTTACTATGCCATCAAGAAACAAAGTATTATGTTTGAAGTTATATATCAACAGTAAACAGTTAGACAATTTCATTATGGAATGTTTGAAGTGATTACGAGTTCACCTAGTTTGCAAATGAAACAAAGACTCTGTGACCAAAGAACAATAAGTTAGCTATTCTGATGCGTCACAGCCCAGCTAACTAGAAAGAGAAGTTCATGTTCGAAACAGGGAAACATACTCCGCAAGCAGCCAGAATCACAAGAAATAATAACAGGTAAAAATCAAACATATATGTACAACAATAAATTGTTCTTGGGAAGCGTTACAAAATAACATACTAAAAGATACAACGAACCAATAGCGTTTAAGATCCTCGAAAGTGGATAATGTGACATGAAGGTAAAAACAAGCGCTTTTGGAACAAACACAAGAAATTCAAATTTTGAAAACAAATTTTAAAAAATGGAATATTTACCAAATGAGTTCTGTGGATCTAACATCCCCAACACATTAGGTAGTTCATCTTTGCAGTTCTATTTCTACTTGATGATATATTGAAAGTTAAGAATTTTTGATAAATTGATAGACATCTAATATGCTCAATTTTGGGGAAAATTTGGCCCATTTTGCGGAAATTTTGGAGAAATGAGACACAAAACCCAAAATTTCACCAGACCAGGGGAAATTCCCCAACATTTACCAAAAATTCCCCATTGACCTTGATCAAGGTCATTTGACTTTGGGGATTTCCCCCGAAATTTCCCCAAAATTGGCAGCTCGGGAATATAAATATTAAGGAATGGATCTGAACTAATGAATTACCACTTGCGATCGCATTATGTAACTTTGGATTACTTGATTTAGTAATTATCACACGGCAAACATGGGCTGTAGTCCTACAATTAAAGAATATATGGAACTCAAAACAACTGTCTGTCAATAATATCAAAGTCACAATCTTCAATTACAACGTCAAGACAGTCCTACTGTACGGAGCTGAAACGTGGAGAACTAATCCAACCATCATCAAGAAGGTACAAGTATTTATAAATAGTTGTCTACATAAAATACTTAACATCCAACATTGGCCGGATACCATCAGCAACAGCCTACTGTCAGAGAGAACAAACCAGCTTCCAGCTTAAGAGTAACTTAGGAAAAGACGATGGAAATGGATATGAAATACATTACGGAAATCAGCTGCATCATGAGGCATGTGCTAACTTGGAATCGTGAAGGGAAGTGGAAAAAAGGAAGACCAAAGAACATAATACGTCGGGAAATAGAAGTAGATATGTAAAGCATGAATAACAACTGGAAAGAAGTGGAGAGGATTGTTTGGAACAGGGTAGGATAGAGAGTGCTGGTGTTTGGCCTATGCTCCTTCACGAGGAGTAACAAACGTAAATAAGTAACATATATTTTGTTGATTAGACAAATGAAGGTATTGAACAAAGAATAATATTATAAATTCATAATTGAAATGACAATTGACTCACTGTTGTCGTCTAATTTCAGCATAGTCGAAGCAACTTTTCATGCTAAAGTCACATCCTAATTGTCTACCATATTCCCATTTCATCGCTTTTGAGTAATCAACAATGTACCAACTTGAAAATGACATAAAAGAATTTATGAAGTCAAATTCCACCTCATTAACGAATGAATAACAATAATGACAAATTAGTACAAAATACACCAGAGGGTGATATAACTAATACAAAATACTAAGTAAAGATAATAGTTAATTTATAGTTTACTATTCGAATGAAAAGTGCTGGTTGGCGGCCTATGCTCCACAAGGAGTAACAGGGGTAAGTAAGTAAGCAAGTATAGTTTATCTGAAAAGGAGTGATTACCAGATAACTTCAAAATGAGTGTTTTAGACAAGCATGATAAAAAAGAATAGGTGAAAAACAATGAACGTGATGAAGTGTATATAGTTTTGAGAAGAGTGGTATTGCATAACAAAATTTGAGGTTTTATAACAAAGATAGTTTTATTAAGGATAAACTTGTCATTTGTTTACATGGTTAAAGTATGTGCAAAACTAGCGTGGATTTGGTATGGCGGATGTGTCGCTCAATTTCGTGGATTAGTAGAAGTTAGACGTTAACACTGTTAAATCCCGACTGGCTCAGTGCCGAAGAGGTTAAGAGTACGCGCGCGAGATTGCTAACACCTGGGTTCGAATCCTGCGGGAGGGTGTCATGGGTGAGTACTACTGTGAAGTCCCGCAATAGAACGGGTTTGCCTCTCAATGTTTCCAGGCTTTCCATGGTGGTTCAGCTTCAATTGACCCATGATCTAAAGTATTGAAATTAATACGATCTCCACAAAACCCCTTTCTGATATGAATGAATCATTTGATGTATTTTGGTTTAGAAAATATCTTATATTCGCTTAATGAGAAATATGAAACTGAGTTCAGAAACCTTCAGTCTGTTCAGTCATTTCCATTATGTCTCTGAGCCAATGTTGGCGTTTACGACAGTGTTCTATTCCGACGAGAATAATGAATGGCAACTGTTGGGATCCATTTATAGACAAATCCTATACGCATATTTGTATCGTATAATTGTTAAGTAACAAAATTATTTATATTCTTGTTCCTCTTATGATTAGCGCTGTTTTGACCATAGACTATTTTTATACAATTTACCGTTCTTGAGTTTTGCCCAGTCCATTCATTACGATCCCCCTCATTCACAGCCACTTTTAACTTGGTCTTGTACAAATGTTATTTCCAATTTCATGGTATGATGTGGTCTGTTTGAAATACATAATTCATATCACGGACGCTGAGATTAGTGTTGTGGACTTAACTTGCAGGGCTAAACAAAGAGAAGGACCGATAATGACTGTAGACTCCTCGTACTTGTTTTATGCGTCATTAGTCTGGTCGATTAATTACTCTTCTTTAATTGGCGGTATCAATACGTCATATATTGATAGGGGTACAAGTCCACAAGTTATAACAGAACGGTACTGAGTTCGAGTCTCAGAGTGAACATCAACTCTGAGATGCAGGTACATCCAGCTGACGAGTCCCAAACAGGGCGAAACGCGCGTCCTGGATTCCACTGCTAGCCACTATCCATCTTTGCTTATAAGACAGAAGTAGGTTCATAGACTGTGCGATTCACTCAGTTTCTCAAAAAAATGTGTAATAAGGTAACATTTACAATAAAAATGGACCATCTGTAACACTAATCTCACTGAATATATAAATATATATTGACTATGCCAGTTGGTACTGACTTCCATTAATATTTATGAACACTTTTCATGACTACATATAGTTTTGCATAAAACTTACTTAGGTTCGAGAAAGGACTTAATCCGATTGTTTACGTTTTTGATATTTCAAAGTACTGGATGAAGAGTCAAACACACAACTAATGAGGGTTGACAACTATATATATTCAAACATGTTTAGCCATATCCTTTTAGACTACCTTTAGTAATATCATTCCAAAACCTGCAAACATAGGCTCGTGGAGTCCAGAATTGGAAATCGTTAACGAAACCAAAGAGATTCTGCATAACAATTGACATTATTCTTTTATATCCATCGTTGTAATAAAAAAAATAGGTAATTACTTTGTCTAACTTTGCTTACCCCGAATCCTCAAAGAAGCCAAGAGTAACACGCGATACAGAGTAATCAATTTGTATTCTTCCAGCCATTATTTCGCTCTGAAATCCAAGATGATAATACACTACATAAACAATGAAGCAACTAAAATTTATGGTTATACAAGAATACGGTTTTTATGCTATATTATTCTCAATAATATATACGTTCTAATCTTTCCTAAACTATCATCAACAAAGAGTATTTATTTAGGCACATACCCTACAACTAATAATAAACGAAAAAGCTCTACTTACTTGCTTACTTACTTACGCCTGTTACTCCAAATAGAGTATAGGCCGCCGACAAGCATTCTAGAACCCACTCTGTCATGGGCCTTCTTTTCTAATTCCATCCAATTCTTGTTCACTTTTCTCATGACCATCTCCATTTCCCAGCGTAATGTGTTTTTTGGTCTTCCTCATTTCCGTTGGCCTTCAGAATTCCATGTGAAGGCTTGTCTTGTGATGCAGTTGGGTGCTTTCCTCAATGTGTGTCCTATACACTTCCAGCGCTTCTTCCTAATTTCTTCCTCCGCTGGGATCTGGTTTGTTCTTTCTCACAGTTGGTTGTTGCTAATAGTGTCCGGCCAACGGATCTGAAGTACTTTGCGTAGACAACTGTTAATAAACACCTGTATCTTCTGGATGATGGCTTTCGTAGATCTCCAGGTTTCCGCCCCATACAATGGAACTGTCTTGACATTTGTATTGAAAATCCTGACCTTGGTGTTGGTTGACAGTAGCTTTGAGTTCCAGATGTTCTTCAGTTGTAAATATGCTGCTCATGCTTTATCGATCCGCGCCTTCACATATGCATCAGATCCACCCTGTTCATCAATGATGCTGCCCAGATATGTAGAGGTTTTTACATCTTTCAAATCTTCTCCGTCAATCGGAGAACCTTGCTCTTCCTTTTGTGTATATTGAGACCTATTGCTGCCGGAGCTGCTGTTACACTGGTCATCTTCTCCTGCATTTGTTTTTGCGTTTGGGATAGAAGGTTCAGATCATCTGCGAAATCTAGATCGTCTAGCTGCATCCTAGCTGTCCATTGTATCCCGTGCTTCCCTTCAGATGTTGACGTCTTCATGATCTAGTCGATCACCAGGAGAAAGAGAAAGGGTGAGAGTAAGCAACCTTGCCTGACCACGGTCTTCACTTTGATCGACTTCGTCAACTGTCCTCCATGCACGATTTTGCAGTTTAATCCATCATATGGATTCTGTATGATATTGACTATCTTCTGAGGTACACCGTGGTGTCGAAGAAGCTTCTACAGTGTTCTTCTGTCCACGCTGTCAAATGCCTTTTCGTAGTCAATGAAGTTGATGTAGAGTGATGAATTCCATTCAATTGACTGTTCCAGAATGATCCGTAGAGTTGCGATTTGGTCTGAACACGATCTCTCCTTATGGAATCCTGCCTGTTGGTCACGAAGTTGGGCGTCTACGCAGTCCTTCATCCTGTTTAAGAATACCCTGTTGAAGACTTTTTCCGGTATTGAGAGAAGAGTGATTCCCCTGTAGTTATCACAGTTGCTGAGATCGCCTTTCTTCGGTATTTTGATCAGGAGTCCTTCTTTCCAGTCTTTTGGTACTTGTTCCTCATCCAAAATCTTATTAAAGAGAATGTGGAGTATCCTCGCAGTTGCCGCTTCGTCTCCTTTCAGTGCCTCTGCTGGAATGTTGTCTGGTCCTGCAGCTTTGCCACTCTTGATTTGTCTGATTGCCATGCTGATTTCTTCAATTGTTGGTGGGCCATCATCGATCGGGAGGTCCGTGGTTGCTGCTTCGATGTTGGGTGGGTTCAATGGGGCTGGTCGATTCAAGAGTTCTTTGAAGTGTTCTACCCACCTGTTTCGTTGTCCCTCAATGTTAGTGATTACCTCACCTTCCTTCTCACTGTTCGGTCTGGTTTGCGGCGAATCCCAGAGAGTTTCGTTGTTATGTCATACAGTTCTCTCATGCTTCCTTCTCTTGCAGTCTTTTCCGCCGTTGTTGCTAAATCTTCCACATATTTACGTTTGTCAGTTCTGATGCTCCTCTTCACTTGTTTGTTTACTTCTGTGTATTCAGCTTGTGCCTTGGCTTTTTCTGCTCTTGTTCTGCTGGTATTGATTACTGCCTTCTTGTTCCTCCTTTCTTGAATCTTATCCAGTGTATCAACAGTGATCCATTCCTTGTGATGGTGCTTCTTATGACCCAGGACTTCATGACATGTTGAAATGATTGCCTCTTTGATACCCTTCCAGTTGCTCTCCACAGTAGTTCCTTCTCCAATTGAGTAGATCATGAAAGGCCTGGAACTTGTTGCTGAGGTATATCTTGAATTTATTGATTTTGTCAGTATTCTGAAGAAAAGCTGTATTGAACATTTGTGATATTGTCCACCTCGTTGTCCAGTGTTTCTTGAATTTCAATTTCATCTTGGCGACCAGCAAGTGATGATTTGATGTTATATCAGCTCCTCTCTTGGTTCTCACGTCCTCCATCGTCCTTCTGAAGTTTTTAGATATGCAGATATGGTCGATTTGGTTTTGCGTGGTGTGATCCGGTGAAGTCCATGTGGCTTTGTGTATGCGTTTATCTGGGAATATGCTGCCGCCTATGAACAATTTATTGAAGGCACATAGGTTTGCGAATATCTCACCATTTTCGTTTCTTTCTCTCAGTCCTTGTCATCCCATGATGTCTTCATATCCAGTGTTGTCCATTCCAACCTTGACATTGAAGTCTCCCATCAGAATGGTCAGGTCCTTTGTTTGGCACTTCTCGACGATTGACTGCAGCCTATTGTAGAATTGATCTTTAGCGTCTTCATTGTAATCGTTGGTAGGCGCATAGCATTGGATGATGTTCATTGAAATGCCCTCTTTCTTTGTTTTGAATGAGGCTTTGATGATCCTTGGTCCATGAGATTCCCATCCTAGAGTGCATTTTGTGCTCGTTTTGACAGCATCAATGCAACTCCTTGTGTATGTGGGGCATTTTCTTCTTCATGGTTGGAGTATAACAGAAGCCCACCTGAACCTAGTCGTTGTTGTCCAACTTGCGTCCAATGTGTTTCACTGATGCCAAGTACCTCTAGGTTGTATCTTCTCATTTCTGCAGCAATTTGGAAGACTCTCCCGGTGTCCCACATTGTATGAACATTTCATGTACCTAAATAAATGGTCGCTCTGGTTATCAGAAGGAGCATCGGCCTTGTAACTTCCGAGGGAATTCGACTTTCATCATGAGGCGTCATAGTTCTTCCAAATGTAGACCTTCTGATTCCCAGGGCAGAGTTTAAAAGGTTTGGATAATTTTTTTTCTGGTTAGCGTTTTTTAGCGAGTTAGTTTTCTACGGGATGGGGACGCTAACCCCATTCCCAACCCTCCTCCCTTGTCCGAGCTTGGGACCGGCAGTAGCCCTCGGAGGGACTCCAGGCTTATCGTACTGAAATGTGTTACTTTGTTCACATAAGTAATTGATGATGATTGCAGCTGGATCCAAGACCCACATTTCGTTCTATTTAGGATTCCTCAGCTGGAAAGAACATCAACTCTGAGATTCAGGCGCATCCAGCTGACAAGTCCCAAATAGAACAAAACGTGCGTCACAACATCACAAATAACTGTCAGTCTTGACAAGAGTCTAATATCACGGTAATTGTTTAACCTGTTGGCTTTATTTGCTAATTAATTTCTTGATACTCTTAATTCAATGCAAATAATGTCAGAAATAGCAAAATATATTATTTTGACATTTCTTTATCACACAATTTATGAATGTATAGAATTCATATTAACACTCAAGTAAACTCACTGCATACGTTCTTCCCTCCCAATGCGATCCTATCGGTCCAGTTTGGTATTGATTTTCTAAGTCTGCTCCATCTAACCGGTTACAAGTGAAGTGTTTTCTTGCAGCGTTCTAAATATTATAAATATGTACAATTTGATTCTTTTTAATTAAATGAAGAGAAACCCAGAATAATTTTGTTTTTGATTTAGATCATGAATCGATTGATGTTAGATTTCTATTGAAAATTTGGAAGCACTAGATGGCCATTTCATCCTATTGTGGGACTCTTCAACAGTGTTCATCCACGATCATGTTCGTGGAGTCGAACCCAGAACCTTCGATTTCATGAGCGAACACTTAACCTCTATACCACTGATCTCAATAAAAAAAGCATAATAACTTCCACAACTCCATACTGATAATAAATGTTTTTGTTCTATGTCTAAATAATTAAATACAATAAAGTCAGTCTTTGGCTTCATACTCCAAAATTTTATAGCGGAAATAACGATAATTTCTTTACTCTAAAAGACTTCATTACTTTCACCATTATTCTGTGAACTTTAAAATTAACACCAATGAAAAACAAGAAATGCAAAACACTTGTTTTCCTTTAACTTATGTCTTTACAGAAGTCAACAGAAATTAATCGTGGATCCGCACTGTTGAGGAGTCCTACACATGGACGAAACGGCCGTCCATTGCTTCCAGGTTTTCTATGGTGGTCTAGTTTCAATGGACGAATGATTTCAACTATTAACTTACTGTAATATGCACAAAACCCCTTTCTGATAATCCATATATGACTAGTTTAAGGATTTTCATTCAGCAAGATGATAAAATTTCAATTTTTGAAATCATTAGTCAATTGAAGCTAGACCATCACGGAAAATCTGGAAGCACTGGATGGCCAACTAGTCCTGTTGTGGAACTCCCCAGCAGTGCGCACTCAAAATCCTGCATCGCGAGATATAAATCCAGGACCTACCAGTTTCGCGTTCGGACGCTTAACCTCTACACCACTGAGACAACCGGCATCCAACACTATTAATGCCTAAATTCAACTAATCCAGGAATTTGCGACACCGTCCACCATTGTTTTCAGTGATTTACTATCTCACAACAGACTCGACTGAACTCCACTGGTCACTGCTTCTCACTAAAACTCCATGAAATACCTCATGGAAACAGTCACCAGTGAGCATGTGTTGATTAATATCAGAAGTGACTTTTGTGCATACTATAGTAATCTGAATAGCTGAGATTGAGTCAATTGAAGCTAGACCATCATGGAAAACCTGGAAGCACTGAAAGGTCGTTTCGTCCTACTGTAGGACTCCTCAGCGGTGCTCATCAACCACCCCGCCTCACGAGATTCCAACCCAGGACCTATCAGTTAAGATAGTGTACATCAGTCGATGAGAAAAATCTCTTTTCGTTCGAGGTGAATTAATGAATTTCTATCTAACATTTTTTTAATCATAAAATGATATGAATTGTATAAAAGAATCAACTAACCAGAATTTTAGGAGTAACGAAAGCATAAAAGTCTTTAGTAAACCATCCTGCTGTACTTCTCCATGTTCTTGTGATCTTTTTGACAGTGTTGTTACTGTGAAAAAGATGTTTAAATTATTAAAAACTTGCATTATAAGCATATACATTTTTAAGAAAAATTCCCCTTTGAAAGAAAGCCTGGTGATAACGCTAAACACAACAGTAGTTTTCGAAAGTTATTCAAATAGATTTGTATGGTGAACTGTATACAAAAGATTATGTTCATCATCTTGACTAATTGTTTATTTATTTATTGGAACATATAAATATTGGTACAAGGAAGCACCAAATACATATGCGCCATACAAATCATTCGATTTATGTAAGGGCTGTGATACTGCCTGGGTGCCAAAATCGAAGCAGATGGTTTTCTTACGAGGCCACAACCGGAGACTTCGATATAAAGATCTAATCCACATGGTAGTGGAGCAACGCCAGGTGATGCAGTTCCATAGTAGCTTGTGACCTATAATTGGTTCATACGCCATTTGTTCCCTCAGGATCCTGTAGTCCATGTGCACCATTGGTTTAGAATTAGGTTTTTCCAACTCACCTCTGCTGATCCTCCATATCCACCAACCCGTTTAAAGCGCCGGACATTCGCTTTATGTCCTCTCAATTTCGTAAGCAACACGCCTGGTGCGAGAACGCAGTGGGTAGGACTCCTCTGGCAGTGACTGTATACTCATGGGCATGTGAGGGAATTTCAAGAGAGAGGGAGAGAGCTGACTCTCCTCACTCTCGGTCGTACCAGGGCATTTTTGAGACTAATTATGCATAACATATGTGTGAAATCTACCTTTAAAGATTAGTACAGAGCTTCTATTATTATAATATCAATACACGAGTAAATCGACCATATGCAAATAAAGAATAACTTTGGGTTTAGAGTTTTGATCTTTTTTTGACGCTGAGATACATCAGTTACAGATCTAAATTATGTGTTCACATGGTGAGGATTAGCCTATCTGTCAATGATTACTTGCATAGTATTGTTTATTCATCTAAATGAAATTATCATTGCAATAACAATATGTATTTGAGTCAGAAGTCTGCTCTTTTGTTTCAAACCTAATAGTGAATTCCAGTCACATAATCATGCTGAAAATACTGTTGATAGGACATAATGTCTATGGCAATTTGTGAGAAGTGAATTTTTAAATACTAAACATGGTTTTAGACAATGACAGAGGTAAATTTTAGAAAATGATATCCGATGAAATTTATATAAAACTGAATATGTAACTGTTTTAATAGATCAAATTTCATACCTTTATATATAAAACATCGTAATACAATAACAAATATTACATTTCTGTAAAATTAGGCTACTTCTTTATTAGGGTTTTGATTGAGATCATGAACTGATTAATGTTAGATCACCATTGAAAACCTGGAAGAACTAGACGGCCATTTCGTTCTATTGTGGGACTCCTCGGCAATGCGTATCCATGATACCGCTCGTGGGGTTCCAACCTGGGGTCTTCGTCCTGCGCGCGAACACTTAACCTATAAATCACTGAGCTGACACCCGCTGGTGTCAATGTCTAACTTCAACCAATCCACGAAATGGCGCGACCATCTTCCATTGTACCGAGGTAGACACCCGTCTTTACCCAACACGGAATAACTCCACTGGTCACGGCTTCTCATTGGAACTCCGAGAATTCCCACATGAAGCTAGTTACTAGTGAGCACATGGTATTCATCAGTATAGGGTTGTGGAGATTACTGAGTTTTTGATTGAGATCATTAACTGGTTGATATTAGACCACCATTGAAGACTTGGAAGCACTAGACGGATGTGTACTGCTGAGAAGTCCCGCAAAAGGACAAGTTGACCATCCAGTGCCTCCAGGTTTTCAGTGGTGGTCTTGCATCAATCGGTTCATGATCTCAATCCAAAACTTAATAATCTCCACAACCCTATACTCATATTTCTGTATCAAAAGATTTCTTAAGTTTCTATTGGTTGAATATATATAAACATGAAATTCTCACCTCGGAATATAATTTCCATATTGATCTTTGTACTTTGGCTTATGTTTATCGTCCCTGGGAGTTCGAGCTGTCCCATTTGGAAAGCGCATAAAAGGGAAGTTGGATGATGAAAATCCCTAAAATATAATAAATTTTAAAAGTGCTAAGTAGTGACCATACAAAATCGGAATGTTATATATGAGCTTGTATATAGTTGTTCATATTTGCAACACTAGTATGTCAACGATATTAACAGTTGTTTTAGATAAATAGCTGAACACTATAAAGAAAGAACTGACTGACATTTTGCAAATGAAGCAATTACTGTATGATTCTCAGATTTTACTAAGATGCTAGTATGTTCTAGTATGGGATTCCTCAGCCGTCCAGTGCTTCCACGCTTTCTATGATGGCCTAACTTGAATTGACTGATGAATTCAACTATAAAATTAATAAGTAACTTATGTCATATTTACGTAGCCCTTAGTGCTGATCAAGTTTTATCGGTTAGTTATCAGCGTGGTGACCGGTTGAAGTGACTCGATATTCTATACTTTTTTCGTTAGTTAGAGGTAACGACGAGGTCATAATGAAAAAAAACTCGACAGTAAGATACTTATTGTTTTCATGAAAAATGTGTACCATGCTAAATATATTTTGATAGAGTTTTGTTCTCTGAGCTGCATGATCGTTTGGTCGTGCCGCTTTCATTGTTCTCCTGAACGATAAGTGGAAGTCTTCCTGAAGTTTGTGTTGATGATGTCGTTCAGAAAAACAATGAAAGTTTCGCAACCAAATAATCCAATCCAGGGAATGAAACTCCATCAAAATCATCCATTTGAGTTGCAAATCTTCTTCACCATCTCAATACTAGATATATTTCAATATAACTGTTCAGTGATCTCAATGAATAGAAAAAATACTCTTTATCTTATCAAAATAATACATGAACTTACAAGTGCATGACCGATTTCATGCAAGAAAATTCCAAGTGAATTTTTATCTTCAGGATAATCAACTCCCATTTTTCCTGGGCACACATTTACAAATCCAAGAATTGGCCTAAAGAATTAAGTAGTATCAATATATGGATATAAAACAATGAATGAATTGCTCTCAATTAAAGTAATTAAATAAGTAGTTACAGTACAATTTCATTTTGTAATCTAACTTTATCCAGTATTCCATTAAATGTTCAGTTCAATAGATAATGAAGATAGTTGGGTGATTGGTTTAGTGACATAATATCTTATGTAATTTAATCAATGAATGTTTCGTGTTACTGGAATTACAAAATAACAAGATCATTAGTTCAACCCTATCTACTTTAGAGTTGACAATTTATTTACTTACGTCCATTACTCTTCGTGGAGGAGCATAGGCCAACCACCAGCATTCTCCATCCAACCCTGTGCCAAACAATCCTTTTCACTTCTTCCCAGTTGTTATTCATCCTTTCCATATCTACTTCTATTTCCCAAAGTAATGTGTTCTTTGATTTCCCTCTTTTCCACTTCCCTTCACGATTCCATGTTTGGGCTTGCCTCGTGATGCAGTTTGATGATTTGCGTAATTTGTGTCCTATCCACTTCTAACGTCTTTCCCTAATTTCCTCTTCATTTGGAATCTGGTTTCTTCTCTTCCACAGTCGACTTTTGATGATGATATCCGGCCAATGTTGGATGTTGAGTATCTTGTGTAGACAACCATTTATAGATGCTTGTACATTCTTGATGATGGTTGTAGTAGTTCTCAAAGTTTCAGCTCCGTACAGTAGGTCTGTCTTGACGTTCATATTGAAGATTGTGACTTTGATATTGTTGACATACAGTTGTTTTGAGTTCCATATATTCTTCAATTGTAGGAATGCAGCTCTTGTTTGCCAATCCTCGTATTTATGTCTGCATCTGATTCTCCTTGTTCATCAATGATGCTTCCTAGGTACGTGAAAGATTTTACATCTTCCAGAGTTTCGCCATCAAGTGTGATCGGGTTGGTTTTCTCCCTGTTGCATTTAAGGATCTCGGTTTTCCCCTTGTGTATGTTGAGACCTACTGATTCAGAGGCTGCTGCGACTCACTAGTTGTATTCATTTGCATTGATTCTTGTATATTGGATAGGAGGGATAGGTCATCTGCAAAGTCCAAATCTAACTGATCCTGAACTGTCCAATGTATTCCGTGCTCCCACTCAGATTTCGGGATCTTCATATTCCAGTCGAACACCAGAAGAAACAGGAAGGAGGAGAGTAGACAGCCTTGTTTGACTCCAGTCCTTACTTGGAGTGCATCGGTCACCTGTCTTCCATGCATCACCTTGCACTGTAGTCCGTCATATGAGTTCCGGATAACGTCGAAAATCTTCTCAGGAACTCCACAATGTTAAAGAAATTTACATAATGTTTTCCTGTCCACACTGTCAAACTCCTTCTCATGGTCAATAAAGTCGATGTATAGTGTTGAGTTCCATTCAACTCATTGTTCGACAATGATCCGTAGTATCGCAATTTGGTCTGTGAACGATCGATCCTTATGGAATCCAGCTTGTTGATCTTGAATTTGGGTGTCTACTGAATTTTTCATCCGGTTCAACAACACTCTGTTAAAGATTTTCCCTCGTACAGACAATAGTGTAATACCTCTGTAGTTATCACATTTGCTCAGATCTCCTTTCTTTGGAGTATTGATGAGGTGTCCTTCTTTCCAGTCCGTCGGCAACTGTTCCTCCTCTCAAAGCTACTTGAATAGAAGACGAAGCACGTTTACAAATACTTCGATGTCTGCCTTTAGTGCTTCATCTAGTATGCTGTCAGGTTCTGCTGCCTCTCGATTTTTGATTTGTCTGATTGCCACTCTGATTCCCGCGATCGTTGGTGGAGTAACGTCTCTAAGAATGCCTGTGTTTCCTGAACTGGGATAAATCAATCGTAAATAAAATTCAAGGTTTGAAGAATGAATTGTACTAATTATCGACCTCACTTTAATGAACTTAAAGTACCAATAATGTTTACAGACTTAATATTACAGACTAATTCGACTTTCACGTGAGATAGTTTCATACTACTTACTTAATCCTGTTACTCCCATAGGCAGCCGACCAGCATGGAAACAATTTAACCTATTTCCAATTGCCTAGATGTTTGCTTTTTTGTTGCATCAAATTTAAAGTGCAGCTACTTTTTGTGTAGAAATTTGGAACAGCGTAACTTAAACTGCTATACTTTATTCATTTGTGTATTGATTGTTTGGATCTTCTCATTGACGTTAAGGTGTACAGTTTATCAATCTCTTATTGGTATATGTTCATCGTGTGCAGATGGTTCCGATGGTGCCTTAAGTCATTAAATTACAGTTTTAAATTTCCATGAGAAGATTTAAACAACTAATACAAAGATTAATTAAACTTCACCCCATTGTACAAGCTAGTAACTATCTGGACACAATAGCTAAGTGAATACCGTGATGGCGCTTAAAGCGAATAATACTGGGTTTCAGTCCCAGAATGAACATCATCAAAATGAAGCAGGTATATCCGACTGACGAGTCCTAGATAGGATGAAACGCGCATCCTGTATTTCACTGCTAACCATCATCCATCCCTGCTATATCTTATTACCAGTTAAGTAACTGTAAATACATTACATATCTATTTTGAACTTGCATTTCAAAACAGACTCGAAGAACAACTACTGAATGGATAAAATTAGAAGGTAATTCCTTAACTTTCACAATATTATCGTAAACATTTGATTTAAGAGTAGTATAGTTAAAAACATTTGTCTTTGAACAAGCAATTCAGTCTTTTTTCTTTCATCTAAATCAAGAATATGCTCGAATAAATATATCTAATTACCTATCTGTTTCCTCATCCATTAAACATGATGATGCAAATGCTGCTGTACTACCAGAACAGGTACGTGTATTTACAGCATCAACAAGTAGGATGTAACCGGCAGATGGTATTCCACTTCCATTATTGTAAGTTCTGTGTAATCGGTTATAATATTCCTGATAACATTCCTGAAAGATAATCATGATCGAGTTATTAAATCGTAATATTTTGAACACAAATAATAAAATATAGATCATTGGTCGTGGAGCTTCAAGTAGAAGTTTGTGCTGATGACGTCATTCAGAAAGACAATGAAAGCTACATGATCAAACAATTGATCTCAGAGAACGAAACTCCAACAAAATATACATCATTGTTTTACTAATTGAATAACAACTGGAAGGAGCTAGAAAGGATTACCCAGGACAAGGTTGGATAGAGAATGCTGTTGAGAGGCCTATGCTCCTTCATGAAAAGCAACAGGCGTAAGTAAAAAGTAAGTTTACTAATTGAAATCTAGTTCAAGCAATGTCATTTTAACTCCTGAAGATGATTAGTTGTTTTTTATCCAATTCTCTTTGAATAAATGTGCATAATCTTAAAGGATGATGAGATAACTTAAACAATGTTTTTCTGAAATTTAATGGATTATCAGTTGTATCTAATTCCTGTTCAGGCCATCATAGGTGTTGTATGACAAATGTCATACACCGAATTTTGAGAAAGGGTATTTACAATTATGATAATATTAATATGCAAATCTATATTTGTTTCTAAAGAGACTACATTTCAATATTGATTCTATAATTATCCCGGCTCAGTGATCTAGAAGATAAGCGTTCCTGTGCGAGACTGAAGGTTCTAGGTTCGAATCCCGTGAACGGAATCGTAGATTTGCACTGTTGAGTATTCTGTATTTCACATCTTCAATCACTTATAAGAAATAAATTAAAAATCTAATACACATCTCATTGTTGCATTTTAAATATCTACTATGTTTATAACAGTAAAAATATTACGCTGTACTCATACTCACCCCTACATACTGATCTGGAATTTTCACCCCTCCGCACAGAACATCACGTTTGCACATCGACTGACGACAAAATATGGAATTATTCCCAATAGCTGTGTAATAGTATCCACTTTCACAATACCTTGATGCAACAAAATAAGAATGTTGTTGAGTTAAGAATAAAAGAAATCCATCTATTAAGTTTTAATCTAGAATAGTGAATTATTTAAGTTACTTAACAAGATACCTTGAAACATTGAAATGACACGAATGACAAGTGTGACAAGAATGCTAATGATTACACATCAAAAAACAAGTAAGCTAACAGTACAATCACCTTTTCGCTAGTTGTTTTCCACTTCCAGGTTTCTTGACTGTCAATGCTTCTTCCCAATACTTTATTGCTACTTGTGCAAATTTCTGTAAAAATGTAAAATAATACAAATAAAGTATTACATTATTAATTTTAATAATTGAGATCATGAGTCAATTAAAGCTAGAACATCATAGAAAACCTAGATGCACTGACGGCCGTTTCGCCTTATTGTAAAACTCCTCAACAGTGCGCATCTACGATCCCGCCTCACGAGATTCCAACCCAGGTCCTATCGGTCACACGCGCCAGTGTTTTTAATCTCGACAACAATGAACTGGCCGGCATCCAATGATATTGATGACTTACTTCAACCAATCGACGAAGTCGCACCACCATCCACCATTGTTATCAGTGAGTTACTATCTCACAACAGATTTGATTGGACCCCATTGATTACGGCTTCTCACTAGAACTCCAGGGAATACCTCTTCAAGCCAGTCACCAGTGAGCATATGTTCTTGATTATCATACGGAGATTTTTAGAGATTTTACTAATTTTATAGTTGAATTCATTAGTCAACAGAAGCTAGATCACTATGGATAACCTGGAAGCACTGGATGGTTGTTTTGTCCTAGTATGGGACTCATCAACAGTGCACATCCGCGATCGTCATCATTAATATTATTCATGAGTATATATAAATGGCTATACAGTTAATCAAAATTTAAAACTGTCGCAATTAAATCATTCATAGAAAAAGTGAAAAACATTATTATACTGAGAAGAATATTTATCATAAATCATGTGAATTACTAAGAGTTTAGCATGATCTTTCATTGTGTAGAAATTATGTGTAAAATGCGTATAAAACTTCAAACGTTTTGGCGCTGTATTCCGTCTCTCGACATCATTCGAATGTACAGCAACAGTATGATCCTAAAATTTCAATCAAATTCTCTAATAATATTGAATCTACCAATTTCACTAAAGGAGGTGAACCACAGAATGATGATGAATTGACAATATGACATATGATCAAAATGTAAAACCATTTAATGAATAAATGAATAAACATATCTGTTAAGTATGATGGTAACTAACTTATGTCATATATATATATATATACATGTTATTGCTGTCTGAAGTTCACAGACCAATCTAATGTCTCCGGTCTATCTTGTTTGTTTATTTCTCACCATACATTTAACAGTTTCGAAAGGAGATTCAAACCATTCTACAACAAAAAAAAGAAAAGAAAAGAGAAAAGAAAAAAATAATGTAGGTTTACTTTTTGTCTTAAAATCAAAGATTCTGGACAATTTGATTTCATTGTTGATTCTTTTAACTTGAATAAGTTTAACTTTGTTTTAAAACAAAATCTTCCCCCATTGCGAAACATTTAACTTAGTTTGGTCATAATGAAATCAACTTTGCTTTATCCATAATATTATGATTTTTTTGTAATTATTAATACATTTTAGACATCTAAATGATTCTAATAAATGGATAAAGAGAATAGTTGATATACATTCAAATTACCTATCACCTAGTGAGTGAAACTGATACTAAAGAAGTATTAAACAATCAAATAGATAGAATGATGAAATTGGAATATGCAATCATTTGAAGTTGTCAACAAATAAAAAACCATTCAGACAATTTAAAATAACCCAAGCTGTAAACCTTACAAGACTTAATACTCCTGGAGTTCTAGTGGGAAGCCGTTACCAGTGGAGTTCAACCAGGTCTGGTGTGAGATAGGAACTCACTGAAGACAATGGTATATGGTGGCGCAACTTCGTGGATTGGTCGAAGTTAGACATTAACACCGTTGGATGCCGGCTCATTGGTCTAATGGTTAAGTGCTCGCTTGCGAAGCCAGTAGGTCCTGGGTTCGAGCCCCGCGTGATGCGGGATCGTGGATACGCACTGCTGAGGAGTCCCATACTAGGACGAAACGGCCGTCCAGTGCTTCCAGGTTTTCAATGATGGTCTAGCTTCAACTGACTCATGATTTCAATCTGTGAAAATTTCTAAATCTCTTCTAAATCTACCCCATACAATAGAACTGTGTTGACATTTATATTGAAAATTCCAACTTTAGTGTTGATTGACAGTTGTTTTGATATGTAAACTGACTATTCAATGTATTGAAAAATTCGACACTCAACTATTAGAAAGGTCATTCAATAAAGGTCAGTAAATTGTTCAGTCACAATAAGATAATGTAATAGTACTATTGCAAAATTGAAAATAATTTTGTCAACTAAGATAATAATAATAATAATATTGTTGTGTGAATATAATATGTAATAAGGGGGGTGTTATCAAGGTAATTACGGTCAACAAATTGGGAATGATGGATATGAAGATTAAGATATAGATAATGACAAATAATGATAATAAGGAAAATAAATAAAAATGAAGGAAGGAAGGGGTAAGAGGTTTATAATATTCAGTCTAAGTATTTGGTGATCTAGTCGTAGGCCAGGGTAAACACAGAGGCTGGATATATTTCTTCTGGATGCATAAATTAGGTCTTCTGGAGTTGATCCAGATGGCTTCGGCTGTGTAAAGCAGTCGTAATCTAGCTCCTTGAGGTAGATATTTTGGAACTTGATATAAAACAGAGAAAGCTTCCTCTATTTTGATATGATGTTCACTATCTACCAAGTGAGAAAGAATGGTGCTGTTAATCGATTTGATAATTCCTTTTCCCAACCATGCTGGTACATGTTCACGAACACGCAAGGATAAAGCCCTCTGAGTTCGGTCAATGTAACTAGCTCAACAGGAGCAGTTGAATTGGTATAAACACATGGAGGAGCCCATTTTCGGTAACTTATCCTTGATTAGTTGTGTGAGTACTGGTTTAGTCGAGAAAGTTATGTGAAACTTGGTGGCATGAAACGTCCTCTCGACAGATCTTTTGAGTCTACGTGTTAGAATGTCACCCGCTATGTCGCCTTTAAAGTCAAGTTTCAGATATAAGGTCTTTTTACTGACTGTGTCACAATGTCTTCTCTTTTTAATACTTTGTACGAGGTATTTTTGGACGAAATTATCCGGATAGCCATTATTACGTAATGTGTTCTTTAGTATAACCATTTCTTCCTCCACACTGTCTTCAGAACATAATAACTTGATTCTGTGGTTGAGGCACTTAACCAAATTTGTTTTATATTGCAGAGGTGTGAAGCTTTGGAAATGGGTATACTGACCAATCCATGTACACTTTCTAAACATATTTCGCTTTATGGAACCATCTATCCTTCTAGAGAGTCGGACATCTAGAAAAGCTATGCCACTGTCATTTTCCTCCTCGCTGGTGAATTTAATGGCTGGGTGGACATTGGTTGAATTCATGAACCAATTGAAGCTAGATCACCGTGAAAAACTTGGAAGTACTGAACGGCTATTTCGTTCTGGTATAGGACTCCGCAGTAGTGCGCATTCATGATCCCGCCTCTCAAGATTCATTTTCAGGACCTGATTAATATATCTTGACTTTATTATTAGACTTCAATTGAATATTGCATCTGTTGGATCTTACAATCTTCCCAAATTACTGTTGAAGTCAATTTATACTATAAAGTTTCATCCGATTAATTCAAAAATAAATATGCAATAATTTTTTTAATATCTAGATTAAGTGTAGTCGAAGTACGTAACAGATTCCCTGATGATTCCCTAGTCACATTGTCGCTTTATATTATTCAGTGTCATAATTTCTCCATCTCTCGCTTTAGCTACAATCTCACATTTAAAATTTAAAATGATTCCTAATCATAAATATCAGTTTAAGGGTTATGGAGATTATTAAGTTTTTGATTGAGATCATGAAACAACTGATGTTAGACTAACATTGAAA